TTCCTTGAGGGCAGGAGAGGGGAAAAAACAGGACAGTAAAGGCAGAATCCTTGAGCAGACAGAGAAGGAAAAGCTTGGGAACAACCACAATGCATCACTCTTGCCCCACCCACGTGGGTCAGGCCTTGCAGAAGGAGAAGCACGCCAGCCTCATTCGAGGTGCAGTTTGGTCCCGGTCCTCAAGGAGCCTTGCGTTCTGCTGGAGGAAACACATACAAACCCGGGAAGCACAAAGCGATTGGTGCAGTCATAGCAGAATGCACAGGGCATTCAGCCAGCCGAGCACGGGCGGTGGAGAGGGCTTCCTGGAGGAGGTGGTGTCTGCCTGAGCCAGGAGAGAAGTGATGGGTAGGGCATTTTGGGCAGAGGGAAGTGAGTCATTGCAGAAGTGCTGACTGGCAATGTGGCAGCAGCTCCAAGCTTGTGGGGCTAGAGGAGCCTGGGATAGGAGAGCAGGTAGTGTGAGATGAGGCAGGACAAGTACACAAAGGGTTTGATCCTGTAGGTTATGGGGAGCCTTTGAAGAAAGGTAACTGGGACTCATGTGTTAGCTGGCGCATCCCCTGTGCAGGTCAGCAGTGGGTGGGGAGGTGGGGTGCCTGCAGGTGGGGCCAAATGGGACATGGTGAGACCTTGAGCTCGACATTGATACAAGAACCATTTAGGAGGTGAAACTGGCAGGACGTGGGGATAAGGGAGAGAGGAGAGCCAGTTAGTGATCAGAGTTTCATGAAGCACCTACTGTATGTGCCAGCCACTCTGCCATGGAAAGAAGTATAGGGTTGAGAATCTCTTAGAACTGAAATAGTTGACCAGCTCCAGCCCTCTGGTTGCTTAATCCGTGACTTGTGACTCCATTAACTGAAAGGTGACACTGGCTGAAGACATGAAATCTTTCCAGAAGGCTCTAGGTTCGGATGGAAACTACATGGCGTCGGTCCTGCCATTTTCCCTCCGGTGCCCACAGTGGATTTTCCTAACTGAACAGGCCCTTTTTCCTGCTGGGCATTAATGCAACCTCAGGATTCTCCTCTGCATGCTGCTGCAGAGCCTAGTGGATCAGACAGAACCTCTTAACACCCTTGGTATACACAGATCGATTTTCTTTCCAATCTCATCTCCCACCCAATGGGTCCCTATGGCACTGCATTGTTCAGCAGATTGAATAAGATGATGCTCACTAGATGCCTAGCACAGTACCTGGCAAAAAGTACTCGACATCCCCCCCCACACACACACACACACACACACAACTGCCCTCCGTAATCAGCATTTTAGATTCCCTGGACAAAACACACTGACTCTTATCTCATTCTCTGAGTTAGTCACCTGTGAGAGCTGGTTACTTTTGAGAGCTGCTTACCTGGTATCCCAAACCTTTTTCTGCGCAGTTGCATTTGTTATTATAATTATATCATGTAACAAAATGTTATGTAAATTGATGAAAAGAGTCAGAAAAAACACGAGTTGTCTCATTAAAAGTCTTGATAGAAGCCACTTGCTTAAAAAAAGCTATTGAATTAGTTATGGGCAGAACAACTGTTTAAAAAATAATAATAATGGGAGCAAGAAGTAGAAAAACAGAGGGTTCTGCCCTCATCTTTCTTTGCCTGTGGCTTTAAACTCTGCTCCAATGTACAGACCCTGAACCTGGGAGTCACAGACAACACAACATGGGCGCAGTTTAGGCAGGAAAGACCGTGTGGGCCCAATCTCAAAGAAATACCCAAGCCCTACATTAAAAGATTGGCGAATGAATGTAGTGTACATTTCTGTGCTTAACATTAAAATAGAACGTTCAACATGTGAATATATCCTGTATTATGACACCCACTGGTGATGAACCAGCCAAACATGGTCCCGTTTCGTCCAGAAAAGAGGATTTCTGCCATTGTGGGTGTTCACTGTGAGGGCTCCCTCGCCTCTCCCGTCTCCTGGGATTCCCACCTCATCAACCCAGCTGGCTCACTTCTGTAGCCACAAGACCCCACTGTGAGCGACTGGATGAGCTAGGATGATAGCCCAAACCTGCCGGGTCCCAGTTCAGTTCTTCCAGTGGAATTGGAGTGGTTAGGAACGCAGGCTGTGTGGGTTAGAATCCTGGCTCCTCCGCTTACGACCTTGGGACAAGTGCCTCCGTTTCCCCGCCTGTAAAATGGGGATGATGCTGTTTCCTGTCTGACAGGGTTGTTCTGAAGCATCAGTGAGTTAGCATATGTAAACTGCCTGGAGCGTTCCATAAGGATCAGTGAGGACTGGAATTGCCATGACTACAGAGCATTACCTGTGCCTTTCAGTGTGGCCGGCTGCAAGCCTCAGAGCATTTGCGCCCCCGGGGATGATGGGCGCTCCCCACAGTGAGACGCTTCTCATTCTACCACAGGTTGGCGGTGACATGTGGAGATGACTGGCCTAGGGGTGAGCTCGCCCTACTGGTGCTGGTCACACTGGGACTCACCTCTTTGGCAGAGTGGAGTACCCTGCTGTCCTCATCCCCAGGCCATTTTTCTC